TCTAGTAGTACACCTAAGAATATTAGACAACCTGTACAATCTTTGCATACTGGATGCAGCAGTATTCCAAGTTCTGTTGAAAGCAGCCGAAGTTCATTGTCGTCTAGAGTGTCTGACATGTCGTCATATTATACTCCACGTTCTAGCTACCCAGCTCCTTTGCGTGCTACTGCATCCTTAGCAAGTCTTTCCATTGCTAGTAGCATGTCTAACGATAGTAGGTATTGTACCCCGCCTACAAGTACGCGTAGTACTGATAATCAATTTAGGAGTATCAGTGGATCTAACCTGCATGGCTATAATGCTGTTGCCAGTGGCACTGCCTTGGCTGAGGCCACAATGAAGAGATCGTATAGTACTGCAAGTAAGCAATATTTCCTGCTGTCTTACATGTACAGTTGTTAGTAGTTCCCTCAGTTTTGTTATTATTGCATGTACTGAAAGGGAACAGACTTGTATTTCATAACAAACTGTAGGAACTTTTAGTCTTTAGTAGAATAGTATCGTCAAGTTTCTTGTATCTGCTTTGCCTGAGCCTTGCTAGTTTCATCCACTTCTTACATTCTAGTATCTCTCATGGTTTGTCCATTTCTTTTCAATCCTATGTGATCCTATCTCCTTCTACTCAACAACTGACACATCTAAAGAAATCATATTGCCATTCCATTTTCTTGGGTTGACTTATACATGTAACTAAAAACATTGTCTAATTTTTAACACGTTTACTGCTGCATCTGCCATTATATACCATTCTTATCGGCTATTCATGGAGGCTTTTAACAGATGTGTTAACTTGTCGCCAGTCTAAGATGCATTTGAGTAGCAACATTAGCATATCCACTCATGAATTCATCAGTAATTGATGTTGGAATGCCTTAGATTTCTCATGAACCAAAAAACAAGCTTTCAATTTTGTCTGGTATCTGAATATGTACAATGGCCTAAAAGAAAAAAAACCTTGTTACAAAAGAATTTGGGTGTTGCTTGTAAAAAGTGCTTATCCTTCAGGACTGGACAAAGTTTTAGATGTTGATAAATTTCTTTATCAAAATGTTAGTCATTTCCAGTATGTATTCTAGAGAATGAAAACTGTTGCAATGACAGTCATCAACCAATTCATATTAAAGTGGCTTTGCACTCAATAAAATATTACTCAGTGTTATCTTTCAAAATACTTTATTCCATACATTTTTTGCATGCTGTCTGTTTATAACAATTTTGTTGACATGGCTTTATAAAATACACTTTCAGCCATATTTTCCCACATTTTCAATTTGACCTTCTACACAAGGGCATCATTGAACTGAACTGAGATGAGATGGTAATTAGAATTAATGTTTTGGGACTATTGGCATATTTGAATGCATCTATCCTGCTTATTTGGAGATGATGATCAAACACATTAAACCTACAATTGCTGATAATGGAAAATGCCAGACTTCAATATTGGAGAAATAAGAATATAAATTAAACTGAAACAGTAACATTCAGGCATAGTGAAAATGTTTCCCTGTTTAGAATTGTGCATGCATATATTTACACTCCTAACACTGGTGGCGCTCTAACTTCCCTTCCACTCAATCTGGCTTTCACACCGTATTTGCACATGTTCCATAATTTGCGTAAAAAATACGATTAACGGTAACCACTTTTATGACTTTTTATGAAATAAATATGATGTTCATAAGAATGATATCATGCAAAGTTGAAGTACATTCATGTTTACATGTGTGATGTTCGGCTAAAGGAAACTTTCTGCTTTTGCAAGTCAAAGTCTTTTTTATTTTATTAAAACTTCTTGCACTAATCTCGCAAGACTAAGATGAATGGGGCAAATGAGTGATAGCAAATATTCATAGTTCATATACAAGAGTGAAAAATATTTATTTCAAAATTAATACATCATCTGTACCTTGACATGCAAATACGGTTTGGTGAAAACCCGAACTGGAGGAACGGAAGTGAGAATGCCACCAATGTTGGCATACATTTCTATAGTGCATGCTTCTTTCCATCAAATAAGCCAATGAACCAAAAGCATCAACTCGTAGTGCTAGACAAGTTTTGATGCGACAAACTCTATAACCAGATGATCATCCCACTTGAACTAAGGTATTTTGAGGTCGCCGAATTTCAAGGCCAAAATTCAAATTCCATACTGATTGAAATTATGAAGGAAATATTAATGAGTATCAAGGCATTTACAATGGGAATTTAGACAATGGCTTCCATGAATTTTTGGGCGTTGACATCATATAAATGGAAATATTAGTGGACACATGACATGTGGCTAAATTTTCACAAGTTGCTTTGCTTGACCAGTGGAATGTATTTCCAGGTTTATATGCCACTGACAGCTCATGTGCTCAGGATGCTCTTCAACTTTGCTGTATGATGCTGCCTCCTAGCAACAGAAAGAAGCTTCATCTGTTGCTAAGAATGATGTCGAAAATGGAAAATAACGAAGAGCTTAATCTGGTCGATGGTATTTCTACGAGACAACTAGTAAGTTGTGTGTATGATTCATGCAGCCAATACCAACATGTAAACCAGCATATCATAGTGTAACACTATTTTTAGTCTATCAAACTTTTGCTGATGCATGGTGAAATCTTTTGCTATCAGATTAAACAGTAGTTAGTAGGGCAAGTCAATTGGGAAGTCAATGGCAATTTTGTTAGTGCTTTTTTCAGTTGTGATTTTGACTGCAAATCTGTCTATACTATTGTTTATATCTTGCAGGTTCTACAGACATTTTCTCGTTGCATTTTGAGCTGCATGCAAGAGGTTGGATTAGATGAAATCCTTGCCATGAGGCTAGTTACATACATGATGGATAACTACATAGAGATTCTCAAAGTACCAGAACAGCTGAGAAATGACGTTGAACAGAGAATAGCTTACCTACGCAGGGGAAAGGTACATGTAAGTGGAGATTCTGGCGTGATTTATGTACCCTGAGATGTATAAAAGTTTAATTTAATAATATCACATGCATTATTACAGAATAGCATGCTTTTAATCAGCATCACTCAATACTAGTACATGTAGATATGTGTCCCTGTTATCTTTCGATTTTCTGTTGCTAATGCTTGGTGTTCTTCACTTCTTAATGCACGTTATCGTAAATTGTCAATCTTTGGCTATACTTCACTTGCATGTACTGATTCCTGTCTTTCTATGCATGTCCCTCAATCTATAGAAGGCTGTATTCACTTTTAACAAGTGACAGTCTGTACACCATATGTAACTGCATCTGACCAATTACCTATGCAAACTATGTACCGGGTACAGGTAATCTTGAGCCAGCTCTCTTTACTGAGGAGCTCCCACCAAAAATGCTTGACAAATCCTATTCGAGAGCTGTCAGATGTAGTTATAGCTGATGTACATCAATGTCTACCTACATTGGATTGTGGCAGCACTGCAATCTTGTCTTTCTCTATATATGCCTGTGTTATCTATAATTGTGTTGCTGATTTGAAACATAGTTAATGTAATTGACATGAAATATTGATAAATCATTACATGTATAATACACTCAGGAGTTAAATAAATCATTGTCATACTAATCTCCCACCATATCATTGTATCATTTAATATTCATGTTTTTGTTTTTTTTCAGTAATTGTAAAATTTATATTTTGCCATTAGTAATTTAATGAATTAACAGTAGTGTGTTCAATTGATAGATTGTGCACTTATTAGGTTTTGCGAGTAATGTGGTCTTGAGAGTCGAATTTTTGGGGAATGCGCTGATAAATTTCATATGCAGTGCTTGCTTATTGCATTTAACCTTTCATTGATTTTTTTTCTGTGCTGAATTACTCCAGGCAGCAATATTTAAATCAAAACAATGGTGAATACAAGTGACAGACCCCTGCCCGCTCCCAATAGTGTTTCATTTTTTTGTGACATTGCTTGCATCCACTTTTTCAAATTCCATGGTTTCTATAGGCAGGGAAAAATTATATGCCATAACCTTAGAGAATAGTAAACTATTTGAGGGGCAAAAATAACAGGATTTTGGAGGGATATGGTCATGCATATTCAGTACTATATATATATATAAGCTCTATTTTCTCAATTTTTGATTCTGAACAACTTTGCTAGAAAATGGTTTGCTAATAGCGTCTCAGTGTCACTAAAAAGTACCTTTTTAAAAATGTTGGAAACAATTAAAAAAAATACAAAATACTCAATGACTTGTTTTTTAAAATGATGTATTTTTTTTTGTTGGCAACGTTTTCATTTATTTTACTAGTTTATTCTCGATTTTTTTAGTCATTTGACTCCAAAACAGTCTACACAAATAAGTGCATAAAAACTTGGGCCAAATACTTGGTATAGGATCTAGTTTCAGTTTGGTTATATCCTGCTATATTAAATGAATGAATGATTTGGAGGCAACTTGCCAATTCAGGCTAGCTCTTATGCAGTCAGTTTGTTTAATTTGTGTAGATTAAGTATTCTGATGAAGAGAATGCATATGCTTATTGTGAACAAGTCTCTAAAGAAGAATACGAGAAACAGAAACTAAGTAACTCACAAGATGCTATTGCTGAACTATTGGAAGGTATCATTAAAGACAGACAAATGCCTGTCAAAGAGAAGAGAAAAAAGCTGAGACAGGTAAGAAATCTTGCTATCACTTACTTTATCGGTAATTTTAAACAAGTTGTGTTGAAATTTGTCATTGTTCAATTTTCCACTTAATTATTAAATTGGTCACAACTACAGTGAGAATTTTTTTTTATTAAATCAATGCCTGCAACTGTTGTTTTTTACATTTAATCACTATTAAATCCATTTTTTTGATGATTACGACGAATTATAATTTATTAAATTTACAGTGAAACACGTTAGTTAATTAAAATGGGATATATAGTGTGGTGCGCCTAACAAAAGAACATGGGCTTTCCTTTCTGCACTGCCACAATGGAGCACACGGCGCACACAATCAACAGGCACCAACCGGTACTTGTAATATGCTGCATCAAGGCACAGAGAAAAATGATGTAATATGAAACCAAAAATATTTACATTAGTTCAAAGATAGGTGTACATTTTGTTTGTATCAAATCATTGTCTATATACATGTACCCAGGTTGAGTATGCAGGGTTCTCCCCAGAAAAAATGCATAGCGCCGGGGCTAATTTGCATAATAATTTGCATATCATTTACATATCTTTCCTTCATTGATTAACAGAACTTATTTACAATTATGAATATTAGTGAGCTCAGTCACAGGGCAAATATTTTTTTTAATGGAATCAACACATTATGTTTCACAATTTAGAAGAGTTTGAAACATTCTCGAAATACAAATGCTGCAGACTAAAAACACAAATAAATTATTGTTGCAATTTAATTGTTTTGTAAAACGTTGAAGGAAACGCATTCAAAACGTTAAGCCAGATTTATGTTCACGAATCTCATAATTTTATTCACTCCAAAAACATTCTCCTTCAAAAAATCGATTGACGTATTGTTGTAATTTATTATTCGTACCATCAACTTCTAAAACGTTTATAATTACAGTAATGAGCGAACAAATAAAGCTTCAAAACGATCATCAAAGTTACGACATGACATAACTTACTTGGCCATGTTATACACCAGTTATAGCAATAATTCCTCAACAAATTTTACTTTTTTTTTTTTGATATGAAATGTAAGTAAAATCCGA